TGAACTCAATTTAAGAAACTTGATTTTTTGAAGTTCAATTGCAAACTCTAGTCTTCGATTTCGTGCGCACCTGACCGAATTGAAATCGCCTGGAGAGCGTCGACGTTCGGAGCAGTGAGAAGCTCGCTCCCCATCGGAGGCTCGCCGGCTCCATGACTGCGGCTGCGGCTGCGGTACTGGAGTGGGAGCGCCTCTCACTCCAGCCATATAATTACCCAGAAATACGTCTCGCTTCATCCGGCGCGTGTGTGTCTATATTTTCAGAAGAGATTGAAAATACGGGGATAAAAAAAAGTCCCCTAAACAGTAGTGCCAAGTCTATTATTATGTATATTAGAAAGCGCACGTAGGGCCCATCTATCATCCCTTATCTGTGGTTAGTGGCGGGGGCGCGGGGCGGCCGATGGGTAAGAAGGCGAGGGGAAGGTCCCGGGCGGCGGGCCTGCGACTCCGCCGCCGCCGTCGCCGCCGCTCCCCGCCCGTGCCCACCTCGACCTCTGTCTGTCCCGCGCAATTACTGGGCGACCTGCTTCTTTTGATTTGTTTACGAGGAGGCGAGCTCCTGATTGCATTCATATTCATGGGCACCCCGTGCAAATAGACGGCCGTGTTCCGCAGACTGCAGTTTGGCCAGGAGCACACGGGTGTCCAACTTCGCCTTGCGATGCATCCTGCAGCGCGGTCGACGACAGGGGGAGTGCGGCGAATGCCAAAGTGTTTCCTTCTTTTTTTTCTTTTTTTTCTTCTTCGTATTCTGAGCCCTGTTGTATGTAATCGATCATTACGTAGCGGTCTTGAGGAACACCATCGGCATAGGAGGAGAATCCCAAAGCGTCAAAATAAAATTGACATTTTATTAGTTTGATCGATAACTCGTCTTGATGGTGATGCAATACGCTTTGGAAATAGACCTTAACATTAAAAGAGATACCCTTTCTTTGAAACTTAGAACTGCTGCGGTAGTTGACAATGTTAATTTGAATATATTGGTGCAGTTTGAAGTTAACTTATTATTAATAATAAGGCAACGCTAGATGTCCAAAGAAAATAACATATACCATTCGTGAAATAAGTATTTTTAATATTTTAAGTAAACAATTATGATGGATATATTCTCACAATCCGACTTAACCAAATAATTCTTATGCTACTTTCTTACTAAAATTTCTAACGTCAAAGTAAGATGCAACTCTATGGAATTATTGTTCAATATTAACCGATTTAATAATCTCGTAATATTTGATCATATAAAATATAAGAGTTAATACTTCGCACATAAAACTTGTATTAACACATTTTTTCTGTTTTCATTTATTGTATACCTATATTTTTATTAAAATATATTTTAAAGTACTTGGAGCAATTGTATTAAGTATTGTTAATTTTCTTAGCAAAAAACATCATCGTATTGCTTCATAATTCAAAAAAGGTAATCGTGATCGATGAAGTGAATACCAGACCATCTTGAAATATCAGTCATGCGTACATGGAATGTCCAAGTACGAAGCTCCATTGCCATTGCAAATAATGTACGTGTCTCCCCGAAGAGAAAGCCATCTGGAGCCGAGCGTCCTCGTCATGCCTTCATGTGTCTGGTTCTGCCCGCAGAGCCTAAAGGGCAGTAAGGGCCCGCCACCGCCCTGGGGGGCCCCGCGCCGCCCCGCCCTCGGCCCGCCGCCGCGCGCGCCGCACACCGGCGCGCTCAGCCCCGCGCCCGCCCACAACCGGCACCTGCTACAGGTCAGCGCGCCCTCTTGCCCTGCTCCGCCGCTCCCGCCTCCGCCGCCGTCGCCTTCTTCGCTGCGCCCCCGGCTTCCGGCCCCGCCCCCGCCCCTGGCCCCGCCCACGCTATCGCTCTCGCCGCCTCTTCACTAACTGGCCTGGCTCTGGGACGCGGCTCACTGGTCACTGGAGGGGACGTGTCGCCCACTCTAGGGCGGACGAGGCAACGATATGGAGGCCAGTTTCTACTGGAACATTCTACTCTTCAATAAATTGAAAAAAAATCCTTACTTTTGAGAACTTTTTTTCCAACTTACTCCTTATAAAAATTTCAGAATTTTGACGTTTTTCTTTTCTTCTGCGTTGCAGTGTCTTGAAACTGGAATGTTTTATTACAATGTAAACGTATCAGTGGATTTGAGAGATAAAGGATCCTTGTTACGTGAAAGAAATCAACAACAAATATTGAAAATGTGTAATATAAGTATAACATATTTCATTATCTACAAATATAAAATATTTAAACTGTTTTTTGAATTCGTGATGATTCCTCAGTGTCTGCATGAATATATTTTTTCTTTGTTTGAGATAAATATTTCTTTTTAAATTTTACTAAAGTAACAATTTTCTGTCTTTATCATACGGAAAAACATTTTCCAAAAAAAAATAAAGCAGCACGCTATAACATTATTCATATTTTGATGTATAATATTAAGACAACATTTAAGTAAGACAGTTACTTACACAGCACGTCAACATAGTTGATCGAATTGCTATTTCCATATAAAATCGAAGTATTAATTCTAATAAATAAAACGTCTTCATATCTTACGACTGGTTTCCTCTGCTATTGCCCGTTTCGTCCGAAACACTGATGGTACATTGGGTGACGGTTTGTCCACTTCCAAAATACCAAAATGAAGGAGAGTGTGTAAGTGCACTTTTTTGTTACGCTTCTTTACCCAGGATGCATGAAAACTCTACGAACGTTAAAGCTATTGCAAAGAAAGATATATTTTTAACATTGCTTCAGAAAGAGAAAAATAATGTTGATTGGAAGTTTTAAAAAACTTACGTTCACTTTTGTTTTCTTAATTTTTCAAATATTTTGAGATTGTAGCACGAAATACTCAAAAATGCATTCTTTAGTCGTATTATTTTGTTCAAATTATGAATTAAAATGTATAGATAAATGCCTTTTTTTAAATAACTGGAATATATTACGTATTTTATTTTATTTCAAATTTTTCTTTCATTTTGGTATACCTACTCTTGATAACCACTACAACTCACAGCTTCTCAGTAGCTGGGTGCGGTGGCTGTCTCCTAAAATCTAATTTAGAATGGCGTCCATAAAGGTGGTCGGATTAAATGAGACTGTGAAAGTAAATATATTACTAACCTGCTGAAACTAAACTGTTGAAACTTTGTAGTTGCTGTTAATAAAAACAGGTCCTATATATCTAACTCATTTCCTCATTTCCAGGGTGTAAGCTGCACTAACTCTTTTGTGTGAAATTTGTTTTCGCTGTCTAAAAGGATGGCTTTGATCCAGTGATGGTCTTCAAACATGGAGGCAGCCATTGTCCGCATTTCTACGAAAAATATGTTTTATTTTCAAATGTTTCAGTACAAGAACAAAATTAAGAGAAAAAAGGCAATTGCATTATTTCGAATGTGTTTGAAGTCTGAGAAGTACAGATGCGTTATTAGCAACTCATTGATTATTTCTTTGAAATAATTGTAATATTCACAGATGCATCAAGCAAGATTTTAAGTATTCGTCGGGAATAAGTAACCAATTGACTCATTGATATCTAAACTTAGGCGTAATTAGGTAATGTTTTAGAATATTTCTTTTCCTATTTGCACTTATATGCGATCTCTTGTTTTTTTAGCCGAAATGGAGTAAATAAATATCGTAAATAATATAGTAGATGTGTAATGAAACTGATATTAAATAGTATAAAGTTAAATTAGGCAAATGTTAATATTTATTTTATTGTCACCCTAATACCATTGTCATAAACAAAAATACAAAGAACAATTTCTTATTGAATTATTAACAGTAATTAATAATATTTAACTCATAAGTTGGACGATTCATGTATTTAAAATATGTAGTTTCTCCAAAGTGTACTTCAAATTGCGTTTCAGTTACATTCTATTAAGAGTTTTCATTGATTACACAGCCATACACAAAAATATTGCGTTCGTATCTGGTAATCAGATCATGTTTTCTAAATGTTTTTAGGTTTGCTGAATACGAATGTCCAATTTACTCCATCACGTCATGTTTCGGACAATACTATGAAAACTATATAAAATGAAAGATATTTCTAACTGAGGGGTCAAACCATGTTACCTATATGTTTTTTGAATCGCTGAAACCGAATTTGAAGTATATTTAACTTCATCACATCCGATTTTCACATAACATTAAAAGAAATTAAAAATACGGTGTCTGCTTGGAGAGAAGGCTAGTGATCTGGTGCCAACGATATAGGCAATCTGCCATACAACAACGTGATGAGTATTGTCCTGTCAAGGACCAATTCCACCTTCACTATCAATAATTGATCCGAATTTTAAAAAAATCTGATATGATGAAGTAAAATGGACTTCAGATTTGGTTTTACCGACTACAAAAACATTTAGGTAACATGGTCTACCTCTCGGTTAGAAATATTTTAAATTTTTATATTTTTTGACATTATATCACAAACTTGATGTATGTAATAAAATGGACATCAGATTTGTATTTAGCGAACCCAAATATATAGAAAACATGGTCCGATACCCAGACACGAACACATTTATTTGACATTTTTTTGTGTGGCTGTGTTATAATAAAAAAAACAAGTAAATGTCAGAGTTATGTAAAGAAAATTATTATCTAGGACTTTATTCTATGTAGTTATATCAGAATTCTGCTGCTTATTTTCAGACGCGATCCTCTTGAATTTTATTTGCGAAATAACTCAGAAGGATAGACACTATTTCGGCAAGGCGGCAACTCGTACAAAGTCGAGACAATACATGAACAAAATGTTCGGTTGCTAATACCTGTCAAATTACTCGGTTATGCGTCTGTGAAACCACACGGCTACACGTTGTATCGTCTCATTTATTGATTTTTTTTTATAAAAAATCTAGTTTGAGAGAAGTATTGGTAAATGCGGTAGATGGCTGCCTCATCTCTCTTCCCATTACCGTCGGTGCCTTACGATCTTCCTTTGCCGGGTCCCGGCACTCATCATCTCATGCTCGTCTTGCAGCGGCGGGCGCGGCGGTGTCGTGCGGGGCGGTGCGCTGCCGCGAGCGCCAGGCCTGCCTGCTGGAGCCCGCGACGGGCGCGCCGCGCTGCGTCACCTGCAGCTACCGCTGCCCCAAGGGCAGCGACCTGGGCGGCCCCATCTGCGGCTCCAACAACCTCACTTACCCGTCCTGGTGCCACATGCTCAAGGACGCCTGTGACACGGGCTACGTCATCGAGACGCGCTTCGCCGGACGCTGCGACCGCCCGGCCGACGGTGAGTGGGGTTGGGAGGAATGGAAGGGGGGGGGATTAGACAAAGCGTCAGTGGAAGAGTGAACGTCGAGGCGATTGGTGAGATCATGAGTGGTACAGAGCACATTGCATAGATTAGAGAGATTTTATGGAATATAGAGGGATTAGAAATGAATATGGCTCGCGGCGATGGTGTAACGGTTAGCGTATGGGACTGTTATACCCAAGCGCGTTCCAACCCGATCGAAGTCGTGGATTTTTAAGGACGAAAAAATCCTTCCTGCGCGAGGGGAAGTCCCATGTTAGTAGATTTACTTGCATGTAGAAGATCTTCAAGCCTAAATGACGCCTCTGAGCTAAATTCAAAAATCGCCTATTTCTCGCTCAAGAAATATCTTCTTTCTCCGCTAGTGGGTGAAAGGAGCGTAGCAAAATTTGTGTGGTTAGACGGAAGGGCGGGCCTGATGTCACGAGTCTCGCCATGTAAAATAAGGCATTAATTCAATTCAATAATTCAATATGGTTAGTATAAGTAGTAAAGAGCGAGATGGAATGGTAAGAGAGATTATGATCTGTAGAGAACGAATTGATCTGATTGGAGAGGTTACGATTGAGTTAACAAGTGGGATGAACTTATAAAAATTGTGAATGCTTAAAAGCAAGTTGCAGTCGTCAGAGAGGTCAGTATAGAGTATTAAGTTAGACATTACGACTGTTAGAGATCGAATTGGAAGAATTGAAAACGGGGCGAGTGTTAGTGCACGATTTGGAATTGCTTGAGTGGTTACGAGTGGTATAGTACAAACTGAAGCGATTGAAGAGATTAAGAACGATATTAATGGAATTAGGAGAATTACAGAAACTGCGCGTAATAGAGAGCATAATGAAATGATTAGGGAGGCTAAGAGTAGTACAGAGCACGTTGGGTGGTTACAGAGGTTATGACCCATTGAGAGCGATTTGGAAGGACTGGAGAGATTGTGTGGTGTGGGGAGTGTAGGAATGAGAAAAGTGATTACGACGGCTAGACAGAGTTGGGGTGTGAATAGGAACGAAGCAATGGTATGCTGCAGAACGAGCGGCGGCAACTGCCGAAAAAAATATTATGAGACAAGCAAGTTAATATGGATTGGTAAAAGGGTGGAGGTTAATTGCGTTGAAGACGCCTGTTACCAAGTCTAGAGAAAATAGAGAATAGTGAAGACTTTGCTGCCCTCTTTGACTGTACACCTTTCAGAAGAAAACTGCATTAGAGTAAATGGAGAAAACTTCATCCCACTCAGGAACATTTATCCATGCCTAGGGTTCTCGAAGGTAAAATTTCAACAAAAAAGAACGAAATCAAATTAAAATTTTCTGTATAAGTATAAATTTTTGGAATATATTAAAAAAAACTAGTGGCGCTTCAACAGCACGTACTTCCTAGCAATATTTGTAACTCTAGCAATTTTTCACAATTCAGAGATTACAGAAAAGAGTCCTGTGCCATTTCAAAACATCTTTCCTCTTTCTCAGGAAAAAAAACTCGTTTGGAGAATAACTTTAATTATTTTTTCTCCAAGGAAAAATTACGTGAAAAATATTCGAAGTTTAAAAACTCTGCACATAATCTTATTTAAAGATCTATTTTTTCGGAACACATTTTTATATATTTTTATTATATTACACATTTTATCACTTCATATTGCCAGATTGTTCCAGTAAACTAAAACAATTTTGCCTATTTCGAAAATTAGAGTGTTAAACGAAACAGAGACTTACATACACCATGTTTTTAACCTTTCTTCTATATGAGGAAAAAATTAATACAAAAGTGTGGAGCCATTTTTGAGAAAATTATAAAAATGGTAAAGCTTTATGTAGAGTCCCATCAGAAGTAAAAAGAAATCAGTTCTAAATTCTCAAGGTCTCGAGATCGGTAGGATCAGCGATATCAATTTTGGAGAAAATCGTCTGAATATTTTAGGCTCTAGTGGTTACCACGGACGAATGGATGGTCAAATGAACAAATGTTTTGCCGTAAAACAATTTTTCGATATCAAAGACACATAAAACGTGGATTCACATTACACACGTTACATTTGGGAACAAGATATATCCAATTTTTTGATATCAGACTCCCACAATACGAGTTTTCTGAGGAAAATGTTCACTCTCCGCTGCAGCATTACAATACCACCTCTTTACCTCATAAGTTCGTAGAGACAAGAAAGTACAGGCGATCTAAATGTGCAATAGTAGTGAAATTTTTCGCGCAGGAATACATCACTTTGTCTCTACTGCATAAGGGGTAGCTAGAAAGTAACAAATAAAACTATACTTGCAGGTATGGGACATAGGCCTGTTGTGTGTGTGTGAATGGGTAAGTGAGGGCTGAACCAAGAAATGACACATCGGGATAAACCCAGCAAAAAGTCAGACCAAAATCTTTACACTTCGCAGACCAAAAAATCCTCCATCTCTCAAGTATGAAGAAAATATGTTTTGTCTCCCAAACAGGCCAGTCAAATATCTTGGTGTACTTATTGATAGGAGTCTCACTTGTAAATCAAATATTCTTGACAGAATAAGTTTGGCCACCTCACCTTCTCCATGAATGAGACCTCCCCTCTTAGGGTGTGCTCTGAAAGTTATCGCCCCCCATTTTCCGTTGCAGCGCAGCGCGCGCACCTGCCGCCGGCGCTCAACTGCAGTAGCAGCAGCAGCAGCAACAGCAACAGCGCCGCCGTCGCCGCCGCCGCCACCGGCGCCGTCGCCAACGCCATCCCGGGGCTGTCCAACAGCGTGGTGTCGGCCGACGCCGGCGGGCCGGGCTCCGACGTGGACGACGACGTCGACGCCGGCCTCGAGCCCTGCGCACCGCCCACGCTCGCCTGACTGTGGACGCCCGTCGAAGGCGCCTCCGCTCCTCAGCCCGCCGCAGCCCCGCCCCCGCCCCCTCCCCCGCCCCCTCTCCCCCCCGACTTCTACTCGCCCTTCCGCCTTCTGCCCTGGAGCGGTCGTGACGGCCGCCCGCGGCGCACCCCACCGCCGCCGCCGCCGCCGCCACCGCCGCTGCTGCCGTAGATCCACCACCACGCGGGGGTCGTCGGACAAGTTCATGAACTGCACATTACAAGGACACTTGTCACAGTGAAGAGTTCTAGGAATATCGAAATGTTTTGAAATGTCCTTGTCCTTTTGTCGGATCAATCAATGATGTGAATGTCTTCTACCGTTTGGATGTCTCCAATTACCGAGAATCCGATGGATTATTGTCATTATGTGAGCTTTAGTTTGGTGTATGAATCATTAAAGCGTGAGATGTAGAAAATGTGAAAATAGATTTACTTAAAGAGCGCTATGCTCTTAAGCGTCTTTAAACATTGCTAATTGCTACTGGTTGGAGCAAAAATTTGGACCAGCTGTAGCTACTTTTTGTGTACCTTGTGCTCTTCGTTTCCACATATGTTTAATCTCAGCTAACCGACAGAGTTAGCTGGACGAGATGGAGATGAATGTTTACGTCACAATAATGCAATGGATTACATCGTCATAGAGAATTATGTGGAATCTATATGTAAGAATACTGATGAAATCCTTATGTGTACTTATTTAAAGTTGTTACCATATTTATTATTATGATTATTATTTATGGTAATTATGAATGTAAATTAGTCGTTCAATTTGGTATTTCCCATAAAATAAGATTTCTGAAAATGAAATAAAGGTATCTCTGATCCTTTTGTGTCCCTATTGCTTTTATCAATGTATATCCCTGTTCTGAAATCCTCTATTACTTATTCAAGAACTTTGGCGTTGAAAACCTTTCTATTTCGCTTTTAACACAGTCTTCGTAAAACGATCGAAGCTTCCGATCATTTAAAACGGCGATATTTATTGGTTTTTCATGTTGTACATCCTGATGGTTTTGGCAACACTGGCTATTGCAACGCTCTTTGCGGCAGGCAGATGAACTCACGTAGTAAATATCGAAGTGAAGTAAGTTTGTTGGGTTGGATTGTGTGCGGGAATTAATGTTTTATTGAGCGTTTACGAAACAGTTGTTAGACATGTCCAACAAAAAGAATTCAATGCTTCTAGATGTCGATGATTCGGCCCTCAAGAGTAAATTGCTTCTTCCGGTAGGTGTAACTTACTTCACAAGATATAGACCTCCGGCTTTCTTGTTTTAACAACAATCTCTGCCAATGTTAATCACATTGCTCAATTTTTGTAGAATGATAAACTTAATCGTTGTTGTGGAGATATTAAATAACTATTACTTATCATTTCTCAGAAAACGTATCAAAGATAAAATATAAATTTAGGTTACATATCGAATTAACGTTATGGAAGGTTCGTGGTAAATCTTCAACATTTGGGTTTGTAATTGAACAGGAGAACTCGCCAGATAGTCTGCCAGATGATTTTGAAAGTTTATTACCGCTACTTGAAGGTGCTCGTTCAAAGGGAGAAGTTCCATGGAAATGGGTGCAACCCACACAAGGTAGGAGAATGACAGTTGATGTTATTCTTATAATATAGATGGGGTTCTGATACAATCTGAAAATTATCATAACATTATTAACAGGAATGTGTCTCAAGACACATTTACCAGATGGAAAGAAAGTGTTCATTAATGTTTGCCAAACATCTGAGATTCCTGATCCTCATAATGTGGATGAAGAGATGCTACTGAAGATGTACGCCTCATTGGATGATGACACTCCAGACATGGGCATACGAATACCTCTCAGTATTGGAGATTGTCATGAGGAGTTGGACAAAAGTAAGTTAAGTATTTTTATGTTTTTTGTAACAAACGTTACAAACTAGAATATCGTACTTTTACGAGCATATTTAATTGCTCATTGAGAGACAAGTAAAATAACTTCTCCTCAAGCATTACTCTTTCCTAGAACAATGTATGATTTTGGTCTCAATAAGTTGAGGTGTTTGTTTAAAGCACTTGTTGTGTATTTGCTGATAAGATATCTTATGGAATAGGGTGTAGGTTGTGGAATGGCTTTAGCATTTATTACATTACTGTTTTGTAGCATCAGGCATGTATATTAATCTTATGAAACTGCCATGTATGTAGTATCTCACGGTAGTAGAACGATGAAGTGGTGGTCCACAAATGATGAAGTTTTGAATGATGCATAATTAGTACATATGATATATACTTAATAAATTTATGTGGTACAACATATTTATTAATAAGAAATATTAATATTAGAATTGTTATCACTGACTTAGAAACTGACATGGGAGTCACCTTCTTATTTAATTTTTTATTTCCCTTGATTCATGATAATGGTGATAATTGCAATTGTTGGACCAGGATGGGTTAGAATATTTTCCTTTAGTTGCTCAAGTGTGTAGAAACATTGAAGTGTGTAGTAACTACAAAAGGCTTTTGTAGTTAATGTATTCTTTAGTATTGCTTGTTAGTCATTAAATCATCCCAGTTCACATTTCTTTAGTTGATTGCAAAAGGTGGAGAAGCTGTCTCTAGTTATAATTGCTAAGACAATAAGGAATTTTATTTTAGTTAATTAACATAACAGTAATGACTCGCACGGAATGGAAAGTCGGTGTGTTTGACGATCTTGGAATGTATGTGTATACATGATATTAATAAGGTTTCAGGAGTTCAAGAACAGTATATATGGAAGCAATGAGATCAGATCTGATGAGAAATTTCTTTGGAGATGGCAGGACTGATGTTCACAGTTCGTTATATAAAGTAATGTATTTCAAAAGATCAGATGCGATACTTAAGGACATCTTCAAGAGTAATGGGTTTTGAGACTCACCTTGTGAAATAAATGCTAGCATTATACCTAGTTATTATGGATCATTAAAAATAAATGTTCACTTTTAGATTCAGTGTGAATCACAGTATTGATATATATTGTCTATAAAATTAAAGATTCAGTGTTCAATAGAGGATGGGATGCTTCTGTGTCACATACTCTGTAATCATTCAGCTGAACTGCACTGTAATTCATTGGATTTGAGAAGTTCTACTGTTGAGATGGCAGATAATGCCGTGCCAAATCTCTGAGGCCGTGACATTTGCAAAACCTGAGTAACGTTACTATTGACCTTAAAAATCCCTTGTCACAATAAAAATTTGCAATATGTTTCTACCTTAAAAAAAGTACAAATTAGGTAAAAACTGTCATTTAGGTAATAGTATTTAATAAAATGTTAAGGGTTATAGAGAAGTTGGGCTGGTATAATTTCTTGGAGAACATTTTTAGTTTAGAAGCAGAAGTCATTATTATTGTTTTATTTTATTATTTAAGTTTTTGTCAAGTGTAACTCGGTTATATTCATCTTTCTACCCTGACTGGTGTTATTGTTCTTGGAGAAAATGTAAATATGTCAATATATGACATTACTAGGCTTCATATCTGAGAGGAATATATACCTATTTGAAATTTTAAAAAAACAACAAATTTCACAGACAGATTTTATTATTGATTTGTACTTCCAGTTGCTGAAGTTATTTAATTTAATGCAGATGTGCTTGTAAACAATGATGAAGTAATAAGCAATTTTTAATGGTCTTACTATGCCCGTGCAGGCAAATAAATTATATCAAGTGTTGCAGACTTAAGGCTATTCAAAACAATTTTTTGTGTATTGTCAGAGCACATTTGTATCAATTGCATCAATTTATCAAAGGCATCATGGAAAAAAGTACAAGGTTAGGAGCTCCATGATGACCAAAAGGTTGTGAATCATTGCTCTATTCTTTATTAGTGTGTTTATGGATTTAGTGAAAGTCAAAATGTGGCACATCATAATGCTTGCTCCAAGAGATCCATGCTCTTGTCAGGATTCAAACATGTGAACCAGTGAATGAACTAAATTGATTCATTATGATCATCATTACCAATAATTTATCTCAACATTATTTTGCATTTCATGGATGCGACCATAATACAATAAGCAACTGTTGCAATTTGCAACATCTTGCTAATCTTTTTGCATTAAGACTGTCATGGTAATAAGTTGTAATATCTGATTTTGAAAAACATTTACATGCTATGGGGGCGAAGTAGATATTTTTGGAATTCAGATCTAGATTGCTTATTTACATTTAACACCTAATTCTTTAACATTGCATTACACATTGGATTTTACTTCAAAACAGATTTCTCAAAACAAGTCATCAATACTGTATTCTGCGTATACCATGTCCAATTGAGAATCAGTTTGGCTGATTTTAATATTGTAATTTTTTAAGGATTTAATAAGCATTAACTCATTGATTGATAAACTGAAAATTGGTCAAAAAATAGGTTAAACATTGAAAGAATGGTTCAATTAAATTCTACCATAATTGAACAAATATGGATAATGTATATCTCATAAGTACAATCAATGATAACTAGTTAAAATTGAACCTTCAGTGTGCCAGTGTGCTGCTGATTGCACTGGTGCCTTCAATGAGGCAGCCAACCAATCAACGAATGTTGTTTTTATGCTTGTGTAATGAAATAGATACTCTAATATGTTAAAAGGGGTTTAGTTTTCCCTCCATCTGACCATATTTTCTGTTTGTTTGAGAGTTTGTAAGTGGATTTGTTACTCTTATTTATCACATATTTTCTGGAAAGTTTGGTTTATTTTTTCTTCCAAACTATTAATTAGAAAAGCAGTATTTAAATATAATGTGCTGAATATGAAAATAAGCTAAACATAGTAGCTATGAGTTTCAGAAAATACCATTCACATATAACGCATTGTAGTACTTTCTATGTTTGCAATATGACTGATTTTGAACATACTAGAGATCTCAGACTTGCTTGTTACATACCTTTTGTATCAAAAGAAAATATTTGGATGGAAGTGCTAGATTTTAATACATTGCATGAATGAAAATTTAATTGAAGCTATTTTATAGACATTTTAAATGTTTTATCAATAACATTCATTGAAATGTAATATAAGGCTTTAATAAATAAGATATTGAATATTATATGAAAATGTAGAAATACTACGTTGAAAAGAAAACTGAAATTCTGATATGATGTGTTCTTTTTACTGTGGGAACTAAACCCAATATTTCAAGAGAAATATTAATTTGTTCATGGATTTTGTTGCAAAGCTGTAAGAATTTGTAAGATAAGTGATGTTGGTAACATTTGGCTCTGAAGAATGATACTTTCGAACGAATCAATCAATATTATATTTCGTCCACTTTGTCCAGTTACTTTATGATTACTTTATGATAGATTAGATATGGGTGGTTCAAAACTAATGCCAAGAGTGTCGGTTTTAATTTATTGTGCGAAAATACCTAGTAACAAAAGCATTTTTTGAAATTATAGGTTACAGACCATTGTATTATGTAATTGTTTCTTACTTCTACGTAGATGATTGCTTTAGGTTTCTATTGTTGTTGTTTTTCCTCTTTAAAATTTATTTTTGAAAAAACTGATCTTAAAAATCAAATGGATTAAATAATATTGAAAAACTAGTGCTGTTACAGAATGGCACAGACTTTCTCGTATTCGTTTTCTATTTCTTTTGGTCTTGGCTAGCTATTTGTACTTGCTACATACTCGTGCCAGTTCCCATCTATCGCCGCCCAAAGAACATTTTTTAAATATTTTTCTTAATTTTCTGTTTTCTAATAGTAGAATGAAAATATTACTTTAAGAATATTAAATCACCTCGTCAAAAATGGCAATTTTCTTTGAAAATATTTTAGCTGTTTTTTTTAAAAAAATGGCATTAAAGCACAACTTGAAATGCGAAATTTGAACCTTTTTTGCAGAAAACTATTTAGTTTGCGAAAAAGTTGATATGAAGTAATTTCAAACATTTCCAATGACAAATGTAATAGTGTTCACAAATCGCTGGAAATAGGCATATTAAAGGAGTGAGAGATATTTGAAAAAAAAAAAAAAAATACATTGTGTAATTTTTGAAAAAACAAATGAATACAGCCAAATTAATTATGTGTTATCTTAAACAGTGCAATTAACAGTAACAGTATCTTAAACAGTGCTGGAAAATTTTGGAGAAAAAAATTGGAGCAATTTTTGACAATATAGCGTTTGAGCGTTTCTGAAAATGCAGAATTTTAGGTTCATTTCAACAGAAAACTGTTGTGCTTTCGGGAAACTTTATCTGACATTATTGAAAGCACATATGCACATAAATACATTAATGTCAACAAATTGTCGGTAATATAAATATTAACGACGTGAGAGACGTAATAAAATCACATTTACGTAATAAAATTACATTTATGTAATTTATGAAAAAAAAGAATAGAGCAATAAGGTATTGGCGGAGGTGGTATAAGCAGCGGACTGTATGTTGAGAGTTGTTTAATTTGATTAGGAACCAATTCTCCGCCACCCCTTCCATAACTTTGAAGGACCACCATATATTAAGGCCAATGGAACCTGTTTCTAGCTGTAAAGCTAATCGATTGGGAAATAGTAACCATCACACAGAATTAAACACAAGAAATGTAAATTAAAATGTATAATTAAAGTAAATGAACTGTTACAAATAAAAGATAAGTTCAATTTGCTGCATAGAAGCATACTTCAATAAATTTATTAATGAAAGAACTAGTTAAATAAAATTAAAGGAACACGACTGTGAAGCATTTACATAGAATACACGCGTAGTGCTGAAAGAGAGAGTACACAATTTTGCGTGTGACGTCTGGTAGACCTGGTTGACGGTGACGTTCCAGGCAAGACGCCCAGTGTCTCAGATGAAGGAACGTTGTAGCCGGCGAAGTTGAGGCAG